CTTGAGAGGAATGGATTTGGAACCGCTCCTACCACAAACCTATTTTGGAGTAGACGTCTTGAGCCCTTTTTTGGACTTGACCCAGGTCCCTCAGGATGGACTGGTGCCCTTCTTGAAGCTCCACATCCTGCTGGTTCAGATGACTGCTGACATTTTCTGCGAGAAGAGAAACAGAGGCCGTGTTGTTCCAACAGTCGGTGGCAACACATTTGTGCTGGAGAACACACAAGGTCCAGTTGCCCAAGGTAAGTTGAGAGTCATTGCTCTTGGGTCATCATGAAAAGCTTCTTCAACCGGTGTTTGAAGACACCTAACTTATCCCCTTGGTCACCTTTCATCCTGCAAACACCTTTTCTTCCCTGGATTCGAATTCCAGGGTTGCCAATAGAAAAATATTGGCAGCTTAGGGTTCTCTGAGCTTGGTTGTTTTGTAGATCTTTCATTACCTGACCAGATAATATTAGTGCTAGAAGGGAGGGGGGTTTCTGGAGAGGAGGAGGAAGACCATGGAGGTAATCTCCGAGCTTGGTTGTTGTTGTTTTTGCAGACGTTTCATGACCCAACTAGGTACCATCATCAGTGCTAGCAGGAAGTGGGATTTGTGGAGTGGAGGAAAAGGGGGAAAAAGAAGGGAGGAAGAGGAGGACGACTGTGGGGTCCATAATGCTCCCTGAGCTTGGCTGTTTTGTTAGAGACCTTTCATGACCCAACTAGGTAACGTCATCACTGCTGGAAAGTGCAAATTGCCCATGCTTCTAACGCTAATAATGCTACCTGACTGAAACCCTCAAACATCTGCAAGAAAACAGCCAAGCTCAGAAAGCACCAAGGATCCTACAGCCCTCCTCCTCTTCCTCCTCTTCCTCCTGCTCTCTCCAAACCCCTGTCCCTTCTAAGCACTGATGAAGTTTCTGAGTTGGGTCATGAAAGGTCTGCAAGAAAACTACCAAGCCCAGAGAACATGTGTGCGCATGCGTGTGCGGTAAGGCTCTTCTGGACAACCTCCCACCTGCTGGGGAAAATGGTTCAGCGCGCCGCTTCCGGCACGCCTGCCATAGGTTCGCCAACACAGACCCAGCCGATCCGCTGGGAGTCAATGGGAGGCAGAGAAGAGATGGGGTTGGCGGGGCCAGTCAGAGGTGGCATCGGCCGGTTCTAGGAACTACTCCAAATTTCAGCTACCGGTTCTCCAGAACCGGTCAGAACCGTCTGAATATAGCACCTCTGAACCACCAGTATATATACTGCAGCTGCATCACTACCCACTTCAAACCCCTCCGAGCCATACATGAAGCAAACCGACACCCACTATGAAGATGCAGCACGACCACGAACTCGAAGCCAAACAGCAAGATCACAGCTCACCAACTCAAATCCCCCAGCAACTAAGACTAACCTGAGCACAACCAAGCCCCCACCTGAACAGAACACGCCTCCAACCAATCAGAACACGGCCAACCCCCCAACCAATCAGAACACAGCCAAACCCCCTACCAATGAGAACACACCCCCACCCAATCAGAACACAGCCAAGCCCCCACCCAATCAAGTCCCACCCCCACTGGCAGTTAAAAGGAGGAAGCAGCTGCAATCTCACATTACTCTGAAAAGCACAGAGCCGGAGACAGAAGCCTGAAGATGATGAATGAGACTTCATCGAAACGTTGCCTAGATACTTCGAATCTTACGCGGGAGAAAACCCGAACAACCAAAGATCCACATATACGTATATATATATATATATACCACCCTCTAGCTCTTCACCCCCAGCATGCCTTCCCTCCAGCCTTCCCCCAAAGCGCTGCCCCGAGAGACTGAAGCAGACCCAGAGTTCTGGAAGTTCTGCCCCGCTTCACTCTGCATAACCCCCC